CCCTGCACTTGTCAGTGTTGAAACCCATCGTATTCTCATCTGCCCACCCCTGTAACCTGTCCAGGTACAATTGCAGCCTATTCCTCCCTTCTAGCATGCCCACTTCTCCCCACATCTTAGTGTCATCTGCGAATTTGAACAGGGTGCTTTTTACCACCACCCCCCCCATCCAAGTTACTGATGAAGATGTTGAACAGTGCGGGGCCAAGGACTGAGCCCTGCGGAACTCCACTGCCCACATCCCTCCAGGTCGAATAAGACCCATCCACCACCACCCTCTGGGTGTGGCCCTCCAGCCACATTTGTGTTTGATCTTTCTTGACCCAGTGACTTTGAACATCAGTACTCAAAATAATAGAATAAGTAGTTTCATTGCAATTAAGAATGCAGTAACTGAACATCTAGATTCCTAGAAATTCTCCATCTTTTGAATATAATTTAGAGTAGGAATGATGAGATTTTAAGGAAAATTTGTTTGGTGGGTTTGGCAGTAACTATAATAAATCTCCATAGTAATTTTAGCTCCCAAGGAAAGGCCAGTGTATTCATTTCCTGCTTTCTCTTTGAGTCCCTACCACGTTCTCTACAACTGTTATCCCTAAGGAGGAGATTATTGCTGATATTTGATGGGCACAGCAAATGCCACCTGCTACAAGCATCTTAAACAAAAATTATTTCTGCTTTGCAGAAGCTCTTAAGCTATTGTTCAGTAGAAAAGGACAAAGGAGCCATGAATCCATAATGATAATTGATAGGTTCACTGTTTGGTGTCTTAGTTTGGCATTCTCTAGGCCTACTGTGAGTTACGTGACTACTAATAGTATGGCATATGGGCTTTGACATTGCTAGACCAAAACTGAACATTTTCAAATCATCAGAAATTATATTTAGTATTTTGTTTCTATCACCAATAGCCAGGTGACTTTCAATGGAAGGCTGGAGAGGGGAAAATGAATGAACTCTTGGTATTAATGTTTCACTCCACTATTTTTCTTATGCAGGCACTTAGCTCAGACATCACAGATCTTGCTGTGATTTTAATGTAGTGAAGGTGGCCTGTTCATCCTCTGGGAAGCAGCATAGAACACATGAGCGTAAGTTGGCTCTTCACTGACTGTTCTGTCATATGGTTTTCTTCAGCATTACATATCTATATCATTTTATTGGTTCGTTGGAGTGGTAGACCATTTCAGGATTCCGAGGTCAACTAGAGCAAGCTTATTTGACGGGGAATATTTGCTGTTTGTTATATGTACAAACTGCTGTCTTTTTGGATCCCCAACTGCTCCAGGGTGTCTAAGTAATATGATTACTAAGAATGTATTTTACCAGTCGATAGTCTCTGGTTGTCCCTGATCTTGCTTTTGAATGAAATTTTTTTGAATTTTCAGAATGATTTTCTGAATGAGATTGAATGAGAGAGAGTATGGGGCTATACCTCAAAATCATTTGACAACTGCAGGTAGTGTGGAGGGCAGCTGCCCATTAGAGTACAAATATGCAGTGGCTACTAGTTGATTTCTTTGTGATGCTTAAGATACTAGTTTTAAGCTTTAAATCCTTTTAAATCACCAAATTTTCAGTTTTGTCCCAAAAAAACACGTCAAAGCTTATTTACTAGAGCTGTGCAAAGCTTTGGTCGCTGTTTCAATTTGGTGGAGATTTGGCCCAATTTGGAGGTCGAATCTCCGAATCCAAATCAAATCAGGAGACCCCTTAATCTCTTTGAATCAAATCGGAACCCTCCTATGGGATACTCCTTTGGGATGCTCCATCCACCCACCATCACAGCGTTCACGAGCCATGCCTGGTACCTCAAGGTATGTAGAAAAAACATTTAAAGCTGTCTCTATGGCCAAATCACTGGTTCTCTTAAACAGCATCGAATCCTCGGATTCAGATTCAGCTGAATTGAATCGGGACTGTGATCTGAATCAAAATCGAATCGCTGCCCCTGATTCAGGCTGCATCTGAATCGAATATGGCTTGTTTTGCACACCCCTACTGTTTACCATATTTATCATTAAGAGCCGCAGCAACTGGCTAACAGGGGAGTTTGAGTGGGATCCCTGCTTGTAAGAAGAGCAGGAAGTCTTGGTTGCCTAGGAAGAGGGTGTACAAGTGCCTGTGAGCAGGAAGTCCTACCTGATTTGGGCTTAGTGGTGTGGCTTCAGTTTGGGAGTCATTTTGCAGGCTAATTTGGAAGAGTGAACAGAAAAGAGCTCTCAGCAGCTGAGCCCAGTAGCTGACTGCATTGTGAACAAGGTGGGGCTTAACTAGGTAGAAAGGCTGAGTCAGCCACAACCCAGCTACAGGAGCAGTACCAGCAAACAAGAGAGCTTGAGTGGGGAGTCTGCCTGGGTGCTTTTTTTTCCTTACTTTTTCATCCTGGTTTCCAGTGATGGAAGGGTAAGAGGGATTTTTTTTCAGGAAGTAGCAGCAGAAGAGGAACCAACCAGAGGAATCAACAGGGTGGCTAGAAAACATAACAATGCCAAAACCCTTGCCACTGCTAGCTCTTCTGCTGCCTGTACTTGTGTGAACTCTGTTCTGCTACAGCCACTAACCACTTAGGTTCTGGTGGAAGTAAAGAGCCTGGGGAAGCAATATTGGAAGTCTTAGCAACGTCCTCATGGAGAAGATAGACATCTGGAGCATGGAGATTCTGGAAGAATTGGAGGTCCAAGTACAATTACAGAATTATGATGCAATTCGGATTACAGAAACATGATGGGATAGTTCATATGACTGGAATATGGTCATGAATGATATAGCATGTTCAGGAAGGATAGGGAAGTGAGGTGTTGCCCTATATAACAAGGCAGTGTACTTGTGTTCTGAGGTGCAGTACAAAGTAAAAAGTAGGCCTGTAAAAAAAAAAAAAACAAAACAAAACCCCTCTGGGTAAAGGTCCAAGAGGAGAGCAGCAGGGGGATGTCATGGTAGATGTCTGTTACCGGTGAACTGGAGGAGGTGGACAAGGCCTCTTTTAACCAGCTGACAGAAGCTTCCAACTCATAGGACTTCTCATGGGGGGCTTTAACTACTGGGACATCTGCTGGAAGGGAAACAGCAGTGCCCAGGGAGTCCAGCAAGTTTCTGGAGTGTGTTGTGGATAATTTTTTGATATAGATAGGAGACAGGCCAGTTAGGGGGGAAGCTCTTCTTGACTTGCTGCTTGCAGGCAGGGAGGAATTAGCTGCAAATGTGAAAGTGGAAGGTAACATGGGTGACAGTGACCACAAAATCAAAAGAGTTCAAGATCCTAAGGAGAGGCAGGAGGGAAAGCAGCAGAATAAAAACTTCAGAAAAGCAAACTTCAGTGAGCTCAAATACCTGGTGAGTAGGATCCCCTGGGAGGCATATCTGAGGGGGAAAGATGCCCAGGAGAGCTGACTACTTTAAGGAAGCTTCTTTAAGGGTGCAAGAGCAAGCTATCCTGATGTGACAGAAGAATGGGAAGTACAACAGGAGGCCAGCCTGACTAGACAGCAGTTTTTTCAAGGGAGGAATTTTTAGAGGAAGAGTACAAGAGTATCACATGGGCATGCAGAGAGAAAATTAGGAAGGCCAAGGCATGATTTGAGATGCAGCTGGTAAGAGACATAAATGACAATAAAAAGGGTATGTCAAATGTAAGAGAGAGACCAGAGAAACCATAGGTCCCTTACAGAATGTAGGAGGCAATCTAGTTGCACACAATGCAGGGAAGGCTGAAGTATATACTGACTTTTTTCTTCACAGCCTTCACAAATAGGGGCAACTAACAGATGACAAGTGCAATTGGCAGCAAAGATAAGAAAGGAGACAGCCTGGAGTTCAGAAGAACAGGTTAGGGATTACTTAGAGAAGCTAGATGCTTTCGAGTTGACAGAGCCAGATGGGATGCACGCTAGGGTACTGCAGGAATTTGTTGAGGTAATGTCAGAGCCACTGGGTATCTTCTTTGAGAGCTTGTTGAGGTCAGGTGAGGTCCTGGATGACTGGAAAAGGGAAAGATAGTGCCAATTTTTAAGAAGGGGAAGAAGGAAGATCTGGGAAACTCCAGACCAGTCAGCATGTCCTTGATACTGGGAAAGATCATGGAGCAGGTCCTCAAGGAGTTTGTTGTGAAGTACCTTGGGGAGAACCAAGTGATTAGGAACAGCCAGCATGGAGTTGCAACAGCCAGTCATGCCTGCTCAGCCTGATCTCCTATAATAAGATGACAGGTTCTGTGGATGGGGAGAGAGCAGCAGGTGTAATATAGCTTGACTGCAGAAAGGCTTTTGACACTGTGTCCTATGACATTCTTATTAAAAAGTAAGGAAATAAAGGCTAGCTGAAAGTACTGTAGTATCTTATATAACTTGTTGGATTATCTTGCTCAACAAATAGTCATCAGTGACACAATGTCTAGTTGGGAGGAGGTAACAAGTGGGTTCTCCAGGAGTCTGTCCTGGGTCCAGTATTGTTAAGCCCCTTCATTAATTATTTGAATAATATGACTGAGTGCATGCTTAGCAGATTTGGGGGTGATAAAAATTTGGAAAGAGTTGCAAACACTCTGGAGGGTGGGGCTAGGTTCCAGAGTAACATGGATACACTGGAGAAATGGTCCACAGTCAATCAGATGAGATTCAACAATAACAAGTGCAAAGTCCTGCATTTGAGATGGAATAATTGCATGCCCAAATAAGACTGTGGCGTGATTAGCGAGGCTACACTACTCCAGAGAAGAACCTGGGAGTTACAGAAGACCCTAAGATGAATATGACCAACAGAGTGTTCCCATTGCAAAAAAACCCAACCACCCTATGGCATACTGGGTTGTACTAACAGGAGTCTCACAAGTCAAGAAAGGTGATTCTTTCACTCTGTTCAGCACTGCTGAGTCCTTACCTGGAGTACTGTGGCCAATTCTAAGCCCCTTACTTCAAGAAGGATGTGGACAGACTGAAAGGTTTCAGAGGAGGGCCACCCGCTTGGTTGGAGGGCAACAGGGCATAAGGTTGACACTCTGAGGAGAGGCTGACTGACCTGAACCTATTCAGCCTCAGCAAGCGGAGGCTGAGGGGGGGCTTGGTGGCGGCCTACAAACTTGTTAGGGGAGATCAGCAGCAAATAGGAGGGGTCCTATTCCCCCCAGCAGCACCTGGGATGATGAGGAGCAATGGCCAGAAGCTGCTGGAGAATAGGTTCAGGTTAGAGATTAGGAGGCACTATTTCACTGTTAGGGTGGCTAGGATCTGGAACCAACTTCCTAGGGAAGTGATCCTTGCTCCTACCTTGGGTAAATTCAAAAAGAGGTTGGATGAACACCTGTCTGGGGTCGTGTGATCCCAGTGTGTGCTCCAGCCAGTGGCAGGGGGTTAGACTAGATGATCTATTCAGGTCCCTTCTGACCCCTAGCTACTATGAAACTGCGGAAGGAATTCAACCTAGAGCAACCAAAATGATTAGGGACATGAGAAGCATAACTTAAATAAGAAAGGCTGAATGAACTGGTCTTATTTAATCTGGAGAAGAGAAGACTGAGAGGGGATTTGATAACAGTCTTCAAATACCAGAAGGGCAATCATACAGAAAATGGATATGGGCAGAACTAGGATCAGTGGCCTCAAGCTACAGCAGAGGAAATTTAGTTTGGAGACCTGGAGGAGTTTTCTGACTTTGAGGGTGGTCAAGCTCTAGAACAGTGCAATGGTGGAATCTCCATTCTTGGAAATTTTCAAAAGCAGGGATGGTTTAGTAAAGGATGATCCTGCTTTGAGCAAGGCAATGGACTTAAATTACCTCATAAGGTCCCTTTCAGGCCACTTTTCCTATTATCCTAAGTCAGGGTTTGGCAACATACAGCCTGTGGCCCTGGCTCAGCCCTAATCTGTGGAACCTTTGGACCAGCCTGCAGAACCAGGGCTCTGGTGGCATTTAGTGATGTGGGGCACTGGCTGTGGGATGCTCTCCTGCTGACACCAGTGAGATAAGTAGCAGCAGCAGCAGGGTCCTAGAACCCACCTAACTTACTGCCTCTGACCTGTCATGGGTCATTGTATCCCACCATCAGAAAAGGTAGCCTACCCCTGCTCTAAGTGGTTTGGATCTTGTCAACTTGATGACACTTCTTCCACTGTGATAAAGTACTTGCAAAAACTTCAACTAACACCCCTTAGATAAACAGGAAGAAGCTAGGACAGAGTATTTTGGGAAGGTATTTTCAATACTAGACCAATGTTTAAAATAAATGGACTTTTTATGAATAGTTTGGACATGTTTTCAGAGCCCTTTATATGCCATTAAAAAAAAAAGAATTTTGAGTAAAATATTATCTAGGAGTGTCAGCAAGTTTACTTTGTTCAGAAATAAGCTAAGTGCCAAATCCTTCTACTGTTCAATGCAGTGACAAAATATGAATTGACTTTTATGGGATCATGTTTTGGACCAGAGATTTGGATCTGGTGAAAGAAGGTTTAAATAACAGACAGTGTAAAATCTTTTAGAACTTCTGGTAGACTAATCTCAACTTCATCTTTAACATTAATATTTGGAAATTCAAGTCCATTTAAGTGTTTAATAGAATTAAGATGACCATCACTTTATCATTCTTACTGAAAGATAAATATACCCAGCACTTCGAAAGCTGTTACATACTACAGTGTCTTCTAAATAGAGAGTATATATCTGTAGTAGTTGTGATGCCCACCTGCCTTGGATATAGGTGACCTTTAGAACTTGTAAAGTGAGAAGAGTAAGATTGACAATAGTCGCTTTGACTAACTTTTCATCCTCTGTTTTTTATCCTCATGTCATGCTCAGTAGCTGCTACACAGAACACCACAGTGTGTTAATAAAGGCAGTGGCATGCTCTTCTAACTCATACCCTGATTCTTCAGGCAGTTCCCTGTGAGCACACTACTAGACCTTCTTGGAGACTCATTAACTTCAATAGGGCTCTGCACAGGTTGCAGGGAGATGCTTGGAAGAGCTGTTCCTAATGAAGGAACGGAAAAGTATTTTGGTTTTTCAGTTACTCAGTGAATTTTATTAAATATTTAAAAACTAAGTCACAGTTTCTACATAAGTTAAAGCAGTTAATTGAAAATCTCACTTACTTGATATGCCCAGGTCAGAGTCTCTACTGCAGCTATCCATTACTGTAGCTATGAATGTAAGCTTTTTAATTTGTGTGGCATATGTTTTAAAAATGCTCAAGAATATTGTACCCAGCTATTCTCACACCTGAAAATCTTTAAAAAAAAATTGGACCAAATCCATCTGAGCAGATTTTATTTGTTTGGTAGGCAGATGAGTTTCTGTTTGCAGCATTTAAAATAAGGTGCATTATTCAAAAACATTTTTCAGAAGATCTGACATAGTTAGAAAAGAAAGAGCCTAACTCTAATTATCTGACCAATAATACAGCTGTAGACAGAGACAATATTGATCTCACTGGTAAGTGGATTTAATGCCTTTTCATATTTAAAATTGCCTTGTCATTTGAGTAATGAATTCTCTGTGCTTTATGATGGAAAAAGATTACAATTGAGTTTTACTATAGGCTGGGTAACTGACTAATTTGCTAAACCACTTTCACAGCCCAGGTGTGTTACTAGCTGAACCAAAATTATTAACCTTAATACAATTTTTAAACAATTATTAAGCTAATCGGATGCAAATTAAACAAAATGAACCTATAAATATATGTGTTTTTCAAATTAGTAATTGGATTTTTTGATGATCTTTGGCTTGACATTGATAAGCTGCTTCTCATAACAGTCTAATTAGGCAATATGTAAACTTTGGCATTCGGTTCTGTCCTAGTGGCTTTTTCAAATGATGTTTGTAAAATTTGCAATTTCATATTACAGATTAAAAATTAAAAACTGCAGGAGGCTAACATTAAAATGAGAATTCATTTCATGGAAAGCCCTGTAGACAAAATTCACCCTAATAGA